TTTGCTCAATCTAGTGCAATCTCACCATACCCCAGCTCAAGCATTTTACACCTCCATATGCAGGATTAACAACATCTCCAATCCTCTCAGAGACAGTTATTAGAACCATTCATCCTACTACTATCACTACTGTATATGTAACTGTTGAACCAACTGATGTTTCTTCTACTCAGTTGGTCAGTAACACCGATACCATTACTGGTCTGCATGCATCATCATATGAAGAATTGAAAGAGTTCTATTAATTTTTGTTAGCTGTGAAGTTTAGTTGTCTATAAAAATTGAACACATAATCTGAATACAAATACTTAAGAATCAAGTTTGAATTTTTAGTGCAAGTGCATACTGTATACTAACATGTACATATAAGGGATGAAATGCATCATGTGATAGCAATGAATAAATAAACACCTGATAATACAAACTGGCATCTTAACTCCCACATATAGCATCCACAATGGTAGCTGTTACTGCTGGTAGTCTCTCTGTCCTCTACATAATAGCACTGTTACTGATTGGAAGAGGTAAACTGTTCTATGTAGGTTAAATAAATGACTCAAAATGTCTATTGTAGGTAAACCAAATGAGTTTAGTAGTAAAGCAAGTGAATTCAAGGTTGCTTATCCCAGATATTATTACCAAGATAATACAATGATAATACTAACAGAAAGTGTATCCCAGGTTCAGTTCAGTATCTCATCTCTTATTAATGGATCCATTCACAATGGAACTACTACAAGAGATACTCCTGCTATTGTGACTTTACCATCGACTCTACAGGTTCGTGAGACTACCTATGATTATCGTCAACTTGGTCTCCTTGTTACATCACCTCCTGATAAACCTATCTCTGTGGTATTGGCTACTGCCACTGGTTCTTCAGCTCCTTCAGCATATCTTGCTCTTCCGTGCATTGAACAACCAGTACAAGAATATGTTTATTATGGTGTATCTTCAAGAGATATTCTTTCATATCATAGTCAAGTACTTCTTGTTGGCTGTAGGGACAATACTACAGTGACTATCACTCCTACTCATGATGTACAATTACCTGATAATCCTCAATCATCTACCAGTTCTACTATCAATGTTACTGCTGGATCAAGTCATACCATCACACTTCATTCATTGCAGACTTTATTGATAGGTGCATCTAATGTTGATCTCAGTGGAACAAAGATTGTCTCTAATTATCCACTGACTGTTGTATCAGGACATGAATGTGTTCAAGTTCCATCAGGTCATCCAGCTTGTGATAGTATCAGTACACAAGTATTGCCTACTATAAATTGGGGAATAAATTATCTACTTACTCCACTTTATAGTCGTATAAATGGCCAAAAGTTTAAAATAATAGCATCAGAAGAAAATACAACTGTTGCTATTACTTGTAATACTTCTTCTATTAATGCCACATTAATGTCTCCTGGATCAGTCTTTGAATATGATACAAATTATGCTGATTTTTGTAATTTAATTTGTAGTCAACCCTGCTATGTTTCTGAACTAGCTTTCAGTGCCCTTTACCCAGGTGGTGTTGGTGATGGTGATCCTTTATTAATGACAGTTCCACCCATCAGTCAGTATCCTCACTCTGTTACATTCACTACACTACCTGATGTGCCAGATAATTTTTATAGTATAGCAGTACCTGCTGATTCTTATTACAATGGTACTGTAATCATTAATGGCAGTCTTACCACATTAAACTGGACACCAATCAGAGATACTAATGGAGTTATCACTGGATATGGATACAATACTACAGCCAGTGGTTCTTATACTATCAGTCACAGTCATCCTAATGGAACAATATATGTCAGTGCTTATGGATTTTCACAAAGCGGTGGATATGGATATTTAACTGGAACATTGCTGGACTTTCCTTGTATAACATTTAGTTCAGATGTTTATTATGCTACTGAAGGTGGCATAGTTACAATTTACATACAAAGAGATAGTTTATATAGAAAAGCTGCAGTTATTGTTTCATCAAATAATGGTAATCAATAACTGATTTGCATATCATTATTGTTTGTTTACAGGTTTCAATGAAACAGTGGTATTTGCTCCTGGAGAAACTATTGTATCAGTGTTGATATCAATACCTGATGATGATTATAGTGAAGATATTGAATATAATACAGTAATGTTTACAGTGTTACCAAGTGATTCATACTGTCATATTGCTAATGAAACAACAGTTGTGATAAGAGATGATGATTGTAAGTGATAGATGAAGCGATACAATAAATTATCCATGTTTAGATTTAACAATTGGGCTCAGTAGTGTCACAATGAGAGAGGGAGAGGTAAGTGTTGGGATAACTTTCTCAAATGGCACACTAAAACCTGATAACATTGCTAACTTATTTCTACAAATAAAGAATCTACAAGGTATATTCCTTTGACATGTGCATGCATCATATTTTATTTTAGGACAATCTCTCACTAGTATCCTACAGTTTAATTACAGTATTAGTAGTTATACTGTCTCATATGATATTACTAAACTTGCGACTGAGCTGAACTTAACAAATGATGAACCAGTTAATGTTACTGCACTATTGCTTCCTTTTGATGAAGAAGGTCCTCTTGTCTCTATATCTCCTTCTGCATTAACTTTCATGCTATTTGATACACCACATATAACCTCATCTATGCCACCCATATCTCCAACTCCATTAGAAACTACTACTAGTACATTGCTCTTTGTTA